CGCGTATACTGCGCCACTGTACGATCAGTTCTGCTTTACGGTTGTGAGACCTTGAATTTGCGGGTAGAAGACACCCGTCGTTTAGCAGTTTGAAAATCGATGCTTATGTAATCTGGCCCAATTAGGATGGAGTGAGCGGGTTAATAACTTAGAAGTAAGTCATCGGGTGTTTGAGAATGTATCGAACAAGAGCTCACTATCTCATCGAATCCAGCTCAGCAGGCTCTGTTGGTTAGGACACGTTTTGCTTATGTCCGACGGTCGCCTACCGCAACGCGCCTTGTTTGCAGTGGCTGTTACAGGCTGGAGAAAGCCATGTGGAGGCCAGCAGATGAAGTGGAGATAAGGCATAAAGAAGTGCACAGCGCGATTAGGTAGAGTAGGTGTCTCTCATCTTCCGGGTTGGGATCCAAAAGATTCCGAAACCGCATGGTTGAAGACACTGAAGGTCATGGCTGCGAACCGACAGCAGTGACACTACTGACGAGCTCCAATAAGAGCGAAACTCGAGTCTAGTGCTTCCGAGTGTGTGTTTGAATCGATGAACTGAGGTTTTGTGCTGAAGTTGGAGTTTTAAGGGTAGTCAGTTCAAATCAATAAAAAGCAATTATCCCACACCACTACTCACGAATAATTGTGAGTCAAATTCTGAACTTCTTATCAAACCAGAATGCTTGAAATTGTATGTATGCACAGTTGGTCTGTGTACTCTGTGTGTTAGCCATAGAGGTTCACTTTCTTTTCCCGTCTCTAAAAACAGGCCCAATCCCTGTCCTCGTTACATATGCTCCCTTATCTTGTATGCATTATGAGTTTGGCAGCGATCAGTGAAGTTCGCTTCACTGTATGATGCTGTACAATGACGATGATTCGTGTGTTTCACGAAACGGCCCTATCTTCTCCCCTCCCCCTCCCCGCAAGAGGCTAACCGAACTAAGGGATGTAAACTAGGTCAAATAACCACTATACCGAATGGTGAGTGGCACAGTAGAAGAAGTAAGAAACGTGAATCAAAACAGAAATCAATGATGGTTTTTCCTATCTCAATTCAGCCTAAACCTGCAGTTCTTTTACCATGGCCCTCAATGTTTCAGCTTCGACGCGCAAATGTTAGTTATGCCGCTGTAGGCGATTCAGCTCAAAAAGTATCGGAATATTTCAAGGTCCGCGAAACTTGAAACATTTTATTTTCTACAACTGTTGATGCTGCAAGGCTTGGTACTGAGAGGGTGTGGTGATCGTATGCTGCGCAGCTGACCTTCGTAATTATGTCAAATACTGCATCATATATTGATTAAAGGCTTTTATACAATGCGCCCGTATAGTTAAACCGTTTGGTACATCTGGTGTGTTTCCCAGTAGCGATTGGCGTGGAGCGTGCTATTAGAAACCAAATTGTAAATGTGCCAAGTAATCTTTGTACGACAGTCATAATTTAAGATACCGACGACGGAAGGATGTGCGATTATTTTCAAATTGAGTCCTTTACTGGACGCTAGGCCTCGAACGGTTTTACAGCCCATTTTGGGGCTCTCATAGACAGAACCGAATGTTATAGTTGGTCTTGTGACTGTACAATCGCATCGTCACGTTAGCTGATCGCTGTAACCAATCTGTACATTCCCCTCGTTTTAAGTTGACAGTTCCTGAGTTGCGTTCCACATGCTGGATAGTCAGTTTCTTAAGTGACTAACGGTGTCCCTCCAGGAATCGATCGATCGAAGTCTCCCTGGTCGATGTTCCCGGGACTTCCCTCTCCATCCTCTTCTTAACTGTGATCGTTGGGTTCTTGTCGACAACATCACACGACTGGTTGACGAACTCGTCGTTGAAGTTTGTCTTGTAGAATCCAGGTTTAAGTGCCCTTTTTCCTGATCCTTGTTTACAGCATGACATGTTTTGATCCTAATACCGAAGTGTTTAGTAGTTCCCTTCAGCTCATCATCTCTGCCTGCACATTCAGTTACTGTTTGTCGTTATTTCATGCTGATGAATTGATAGAGTCTGCTCTGTCAATCCATTTGGTTTTTATCCATATTTTAGAAGCATAAAACGATAGGGTTAGAATAACATTACTGCCCGATTATTGACGAATCGAAAATCGCGTGACGGTACTACAAGGGAAATCTAAAATGCGATAGTCACATAACAGGCGGGAGATAATAAACGTCGTTCGACCAAATACACTCCCATTGCCATCATTAGTTTTTTCACGCTGCAATATTTGACACAATTACGACGGTCGATTGCACAGCATACTATCACCACTCCTCATTTCTTAACTCAGCGTTGCAACATCAGCAGCTGTAGAAAGTAAAAGGTGTCAAGTTTAATGCTCTCGTGCCTTTTTGGCTGGTTCGCATACATCAGCTCGTCAAAGCCAAAAGACTGAGGTTCGTGGCAAAAGGATTGCGGGTTTTGGCTAAAGCTAGACGGGCAAAAGTGTGGTACATTCATAAAGTGTTTCGCTAACCTCTTTTTTCCGGATCAGATGCAGTGAGTTTGAATTTGTTAGACAACTGGGCAACGATTAACAGAAACCTTGTAAACCAGTGTGTGTGTGTGTGTGTGTGTGTGTGTGTGTGTGTGTGTGTGTGTGTAGANAGGGCTACCAGTATGCGGCTACTCACCGAACAACATGCAGAAGACCTATAGAGGTGAGTCGTATTGATTAGGTGCGGGCGTAATAATACGTTGCGCATAGAAAGCCTTTCAGTTAAACATTTTGCAGAGGTGCGAATCATGAGGTAAAAGTCGATGCAGTAGCTGAAATCGAGGCCTTCTTCCCTACGCTTATGATTAGGGTGAGATATTATAATGAAGGATGACATGAAGTTATCCGTTCATCTGCCCCTTCCTGACGAACTGTTCACGAGAAATATGACGATGAAAAAACGCTTTTTTGAGTTCATTCTCGGACTCCAATAAGAATATTCGATATACCAGCAGGTAAACTAGTCAAACTGAAAAGATTGGAGAAGAGTATTCTAAATATAGGTTAATACCCGTATCTATTAGGGCAAATAGAATTAGACATGAGCATAAAAAATGTTTAAGCTGATGATAGAAATAAAGACAAAACAATGACCCGTAGGGCGGAGGGGAGCGGGCAATGGTGAAGTTACACGACCGCGGTAGCATGCAAGTTATGGTCGGCTGGTGAATTACTTGGTCCATCGCCGGCGGTTGAACATCGCCGGTAGCGAAGGTGTTCACTCGTTTTCCACTTTAATACTTTGAAAAGCTTTACTTTACTCCAAGATACGTGTACAAACGTCGGTGGCTCTCTTATGGAAACAGGATAAAATAAAAGCGGATTACCTAGACACGTTCATCCGGGCTAAACCGGCAGTGACTGCACGCAAATTGGTTCTCGTTAATGGCTTGTTTAGACAACGAAGGTTTGCTCCTAACCCTTCAGACGCACATTAAAAACAAGTTTGATGCCTTAAATGGAACATCCTTATCTGGATACTGGGATGCTAAAGGCCAATCTCCAAAGTCTGGGACCACGTTCCCCTTGAAGGATATCAAAATGTCAGATGAACTGGTGCATAAACTGGGACCGAATTCTACCGGAGCAACCGACGAAGCCCCATTGGGTGTTGTTCGATTTCACCCATGCCCATCGCGTCGGAAAGATCATCTGGTCGGATCAAATTCAGGTCATAGTTCATAAGGCAGCAACCGTTCTACGGCTGGTGATCTTGGCGTAACGAAGCACCGCGCTGACAAACAATTAGGTGATGGGACTAGAGTTCAGTCTGAGAGCTTGCCAGGTTTTGTTATCACACCGAGAGCCAGTGATCATAACATTGAATTGCCGAGTTTTTTATGCGTCATGGTTTTGGGAAGGGCACGCGCATCAGTGATTTTCATAATTTGAAGGCACGTTCTTTCGATAAAGATGTCCATAGCGTGAGGGTGGGAGTCCACCATTGAGGGCATATCAGTCTCTAAAGGCACGGTATGGAATTATTATTTTAATTACACTCTTCCGAATTCAGAGGGTACACGCAACTTTACATCAAAGGTGGCGCTTGAACAGTCATGCCTCTATTNNNNCTCTATTTCATCTCTGGACCTTACACTGCAGAAAACAGCGCCGAGCGTTACTTGTTTCCAAGCCGGCACCATTCAGGTATTTCCGTCTGTACAAGCAGGGCCCTCGGTTGACATCTCATCCCTACAGCGAATGAAACAAACCAACCCCACCACCTTATTTCCAGTTTGCGTTTATTCACCATCGCAACAGCTCCAAGCTATGCATTTCCTCGTCGCCTCATTGTATCTGCCTTTTGTTCCTTTGACCCAGTTCTTATGCTCTTATATTCAATTTGGGACCAAGTCCAAAGGCCTCATCATAGCCCGTTCTTCTGTCTTACGAATGTCTCTCAGTCTCATAAGGCCGAACGTTGTAGACCGAAAATAACTGCGGAAACCCGAATGATGTGCAACGATAGAATTCACTCCTGTCCGCCTTTTCACACTGTAAAACAGTGCATGAACCACGAACGCACGATACGTGCCTAAACCCAGAAGAAGTTGTAGGTTTTGGCGCTCGCTCACAGACCAATCAGAACGGCATTTCAACCAGCTAATCGCATAAGAATTGTAAAGCATTTTGCAATGGTTCCAAAAAAATGAAAAATGTTATATGAACTTTTGCAAAAGTATGGACAGCCCTACCCCCACCCAATGGTGTTGGTAACCCAAAAATCCGTTGCAAACAGGCTTAGTCGACCCTCAGTCATGGGTTTTGGCGGGCACCTCATTACTCTCAAATGATTTTTCGCGTAGTAAAGGTGTGTAGATGGTCACACAAAATGACCTCAGGGATTATGCAAACTTTTCATTTGGTTGGTTGTATTACTCTATGGATTTGCTGGCTTTGAAAAAGCATAGTCGAAAAGTAATCTCATATTTTCATAGCCGTTTCTGCTCATACATCAGGCCGTATCAGAGTTTTTAGTGACGTCCCGTGGGATTCCGCGATTGTCCACGGTGTACAGGACTATCGGACCCGTTGATAGATGCATTCCTCCATTAACCAGTGGTGTGGAATCTCTCTCGGAGATCAGCTCACATACTTGGAATACGCAGATGGATATCCTCTTATTCCCTGACTGTCCACACCCGCCTAAAACGTCCTATATCGTCGACAAAAAAAATTTCTTGTCGCAGTTTAACCTGATGTTCATGACCGCGAAACGTAAGATGTTACCGTAAAATGGGCTTGAAATAACAACTTCTGGTCTCATCATTTTGGATGATTCTTCGCTTTTTTTGAAAATTTTGTCTATTTCAAATGTGGTCACAGTACATTCGGTCTGTAAAATGACGTATGTATGCACTTCACTTGAACTTGAGTGACTTACAGTAGTTTGCGTCACTGGCCTGTTACAGATTGAAGGGTCAAATTTATAACAACTTCCCGAGAAGTCCTTTTTTGTGACTACGACCTCTGTTCCGTTTGTGCACTGCATATTAGTTGACTGTTTCCGTCACGTTGCTAGCATCATCAAACAAGCCAAGACCAGCAGTTTCTGAGCGACTACTCACAATCCTTCAGCATCGACACACCAGCTTAAGTGATACCGCTGTGTGGGAGAGAGTTAAATGAAAAAGCATCGGAATATTAGGCTGTTAACGAATGTCGAAAAATGTTTTTTTACCAAGTCTGATGTTACAAAGCTTGGTGAACGAAGGTGTGGAAATCGGTGCTTCGCCGTTTTCAGCAGATTCAAACACGGACTTTTCACTACTTCAATTCGTTCAATTTTTAGTACATTAAAAACTGGTTCACTGGAAGTACCGCACATGCCTAATGGCTCACCAATACGAACTCGTCACTTTTACCCTCTTCGCTCGATTTGCGGTGCGCCATTGAACATCGTCACAACAATCAATTTCGCTAACGGTTGTGTTGAGGCTAAAGGATAGTAGGTCGTGACTGAAATATTACAGTTTAGATTAAAGCTTGACAAAAGGTATTGGTGGGAGACTTTCGATTGGAGTTAACAGAATGTCATCTGAATCTCCCTTCGTTGCTGTCGGGCCAAACGAACTGACTGACTATCACTGAAGACAACACCTAAACAAATATGATTGGGCAATTTGTTTCAGCCATGGCGTGAGCTGGTTGGCACAGTGGTAATACACATGCTTTCCATGCGATGAGTCCAGAGTTCAAATCCCCGACAGGACTGTGGATATGCACTACTGATGAGCTCCAATAAAAGCGAAACTCGAGTCTCGTGCTTCCGAGTGTATGGAAGAATCGATGAACTGAGGATTGTGCGTGAAGGTGAAGTCCGAAGGATAGTCAGTCACAAGGTATTGTATCAAGCGCGAGAAAAGACATGTCGCTGACAGAAGAATTTTCTGCTTAAATCCGCACATCTTGCAATCGAAATTCTCATTGTACAGTGGGACTATCACAAAATGACACTCCTGTCCATTGTGATCTATGAGTAGTTTAGGTTACTATCATCTAAGTTCACTGGTACACAAGGCTTGAGGTTTTAACCTCCCCCTTACCATCCGATTTTGATGGTGAACAGTGTCGTTGTCGACCTCAGATTCCGTTATTCACTCCAAAGTCCGCTCCATCCACGGCACTGTGTGATACGTGTGCTCTATTCCTTATGACGCGTTGTTTTATAGTATAAAAAGATAGTTACAGCTGACTACCTCAATAACACTAACCGCAACCATCAGTTCCAAATCTCTGTTTTGTTTGTGGATTACTTCATTTAGCATAGGCACAAACACCCAATCCCTCGCCCCCCCCCTAAAAAAAAACAGCAACAAGTAATTCAGAAAACGAACTTCTTCAATGTCGAATGTGCTGCTAGATTGCCACAGAAACACTCCTTCGAACGACCAAAGCTTGAAAAAACGACCGTGATCGTTGAGAACGAGAGAGAGAATGTCACAGTCATGGAACCCGGTGTTGGGTGGTAAAACTGTAAACCTTATTCATCGTGCAACTGAAATGACTCGCGGATTGGGCAAACATGTATTTGCCGAATTTTGAAATCAAATCACACACTCGTTCCACGGTGTACGGTAATGTACTGTCCACATAACAAGACGATGTACGATTCACGTTATCCGCTCATCTCCAACCGTTTCAGTCGGATGCCGGTTATTGTTACGCCCTTTCTTATACTGTTGTTCCTGTGCGTTGGTCAGATCGTTCAAA